GCAATTCTCCTTTAGGTCCAATAGTGCAGGAATAATTAAGAAAAAAAAACGAAACTAGGTAAAAATGTAATAATTTAAATCGGTTTTAATTAATTCGTTAATTGTTGGACTTGAAAGAAAATTGTATAGAATCTTAGTTTTAGTTGACGAGTGCAAATTTAGAGCTACAACTTTTGTTTAAAATAGTTATTGCTAGCATCAATAATTAACGAGTTAGTGATAATAAATCGAAATCGACAATACCTGGAAGTGTCACAAAAATTTGATTTTCGATTCTTATAAGTTACTCGTAAATTATCGATGCTAGCGAAAAATGTTGCAAGCAAAAGTTATAGCGGTAGTAGTCTATCACAAATAAGGTGCTCTATTATTTGTAACTCCAATGATTAACGAGTTATTAACAATAAACTGGTACTCTATTAAAAAATCCTATACTGAGGAATCTATATCATACTCATGATGATGATTATTAAGAAAATATTGGATTTGCAAAAAAATTATACAGAACTATATTTGTAGATGGTACCTATAACTTTTGTATAAAACATTTATTGCTAGGCTCAATAATTAACGAGTCTCGATTCAGAATATACAAAAATATAATTTAGAAGACCAGTGATTGAAGTCTTAGCTTTGAAATGACAACTCGTAGTGCTCGGTGGAGTTTCTAGAAGCAGAGATTTTTCCATTTTACTAGAAGTGATTGACACAAAAATATGATACCTATGAAGAATTTGTCTAAAACAGCAGTATCTTCTGTTCTATTAAGCCTGTAAAACCCTACATGTGCACATTTTAAAGCCAAAGTTTCCTACTACAACATATTTCAACCTCAATACACTCATCCATCTAGTACAAATATTCATACGATAATTATCAGAGATTCTTTATTTATAATAATATCTTTAGTTACGAAGAGAAGTTGTATTAAACATATGTTCAGAAAAATTGTGATCAGTCTTTCGAGCACGATAAAAAATATGAACCAGTATTTATTATTTATATTTATAATAAAGAAAATATGTTACAAACTATGATCTGTATTTTTTCAATTTCTTTCCTTTCCGTTTTTGAATTTTCTCGACCCTCTTCCGTTTCCTCAAACTCTCCTTCCTATTTTTCTGCCTCTCCAACTTTTGTTTCTGTTGAAAAACTTTGCTGCCCTTCACTTTCTTCAACGCGATCCTCTTTATTTCTTTCTTTACATCCGTTCCATTATTTTCTATACGCTCTTTCATTGATTTCGATCGTTTCTCCTTTTTTCCTTTTAAAGACATTCCTACGATCTCTTCGCTGTGTCTGGACTCGGTGTCGCTTACTTCATTCTCTGTATTCGAATCTGAGCCTTTGTTATCTCCTATCAGTGCATTCTTCTTCGATAAATCCTGCATATTCAGTTCTACGATGCTAACTGTGTGTCCTTCGGTCTCGTATGAATTTTCAGTGAGTAGTTGTTGTATTTCAGGTATGTCACGGGAGGAGACTAGCTTCTTGTACCGTTCACGAGCCTTCAAAACGTTTATAAGAAAGAATT